ACAAAGGGCTAATGACAATATATGAAGAACCATTACAAACCAATTAGAAAAAGACTAAGAACCAATAGAAAAAGAAATAAAGAAAGAAAAGGGCAAGAACCAATAATTTATAGAAAGATGCTCAATCTCACAAAGGGAGTAATAAAATAAGTTTGAAATAAAGTAAAATGAATTACCATTTTTTCTCTATCAGAGGCCCAAAAGTTTAAGGACACAGTGCTTGCAAAAATGTAGGAAATAGACACTAAGTTGTATATTTTTGGTGTGAATGTAAATAGGTATAATTTCTTTGAAGGACAATCAGTAATTATAAGCAACTTTATCAACATACACACCCTCTAAGAGGATGGATTTAAAAAACATTTTTTAAATGTTTATTTATTTTTGAGCGAGAGAGAGCACGTGCCAGCAGGGGATGGGGAGAGAGAGGGAGACACAGAATTCAAAGCAGTTTCTAGGCTCTGAGCTGTCAGCACAGAACCCAATGCGGGGCTGTAACCCACAAACTGAACCTTGAGATCATGACCTGAGCCAAAGTCGGACACTTCACTAAGCAAGCCACCCAGGTGCCCCAAAAGGATGGATTTTTTAGTTGTATTTTGACAGGTTTTTTTTTTTTTACCATGTGCATATATTACTTTTCAATAAGAAATGTGTTAAATAATTTTTAAAAATGAACTCAGTTACCTCCTGTTGACAGCAAGACCGTCTCATTAGGGCAGCAACATGATGCCTCCTGTGGTCCAGCATGGAATAGCCTTCTCCAGCAGTGGTCCTGATTTCCTCTTCACATCACACATCCATGCTACATTTACTCCAGGGTTCTGATGGCATCTGCTTGGAGCTATCCACCCATTCATTCTTTTTCCTTCCTCCCTCCTCCCCCTTATTTCAGAGATAATTCAAGAGGACTGATGGGAATTTGACACAGGGACTCTAAAACTAAAGCTAATCAAAGTAATTTGTATTAATTTGCACAATCCATAATAACACATTTGATTATAGGAAGCATACTATCTGAATTAAGCTTCTTTCAGGCTATTTTTAATTCATTTTCACTTCTTAACACATAAATATTGTAATAGCAGTGTTCCCAGAGCACGGAAGATTGGGGGAGGCTAGCCAGAATTTAAAAGTGACTGTGGACAAGGTACTCTTCAAATTTGGTTTCAAATTCCTTCTGAGAATAAAGATTTGAAGAATCAAACTGATTAATGAGACCAGTAGTCTATTGCAATAACATAACCAGAGTTTGCCTTTTAATATTTGATTAACATTTGAGTAATACCCCAAATCCAATCAAGGGATTTGGCTATAATTTTAGAGAAGCAAGACTTCTCCACAGAAGATTAAAATTAAGAAAGCGTAAACCTCAATCAACTGGAATGAGCACTTTTGGAAGACATAATTATTGGGGGTGTGGAGTGCATGGTATCTGTAAGACTCGGGTAGGGAGGCAGAAAGCAAGTAATGGTCATGTGTCTCCAAGGTGGAGCAGAATAGGTTTTATCCAGCCAACATTCACTTTACTTGGAAATGTTTGTCCATATGGGGTATGTATCAGGTGAAAGCCATTAAGGCTGTCCAGTTAGACCTTGGCACCCTGTGCCACGTCTCCAGGTTGACTTGGCTTCTCATGCAGGTTCACCTGCAGCCAGCCTTACCTAGTTTCATTCCAGTCTCATAGGACCTTCAGGGGCTTTAGGAGCCATTTAGTTTAACCCCTGCCCAATATAAGAATGTTATCTGGGAGCATCTGGGTGGCTCAGTCGGTTGAGCGTCTGACTTCGGCTCAGGTCATGATCTTGGGGTTCGTGACTTCAAGCCCCACGTTGGGCTCTATGCTGACAGCTCAGAGACTGGAGCCTGCTTTGGATTCTGTATCTCCCTCTCTCTCTCCCCTTCCCCATTCATGCTGTCTCTCTCTCAAAAATAAACATTAAAAAAATTAAAAAAAAAAAAAGGAATGCTCTCTGACTTCTCATCATTTCCTATTCCAGACCCACCGTCCAAGATCCTTTTATTTTTTAATATAAAATTTTTAATGTTTATTTTTGAGAGACAGAATGCGAGCTCCAATGTGGGGCTTGAATCCATGAACCTGGATTCATGACCTGAATCCAAAGTTGGATGCTCAACTGACTGAGCCACCCAGGCGCCCCCAGGATCCTTTTAAATAAACTTGTTCTATCAGTCCCTGAGTAAATTTGCCCTCCCAGCTGCAGTCCCAAGATTTTATTAGGAGACACTCTTCAGACCTCTTTTAAGGCTCCTGAAAGCCAAATCGACTTTTATGAGGTAAATGGTTAATGTTCTCACAACTTTATTTAGTCTTAATTCAGGGGAAGGAAAACAACACAATTACTATTTTAATTTCTTTATTTATCAATAGTATCCAAAAAAAAAAAAGGGAAGAAAAAAAGAATCAGGAGTTACAAAAACAACTTAAATGCAATATGGAAGCCTACTAAATACAAATACATTTCACAAACACATAGGCAACAGAAACCTGTTCAAATTGCTGCTTGACGTTTGATTAAAAACTTAAGTGTAAGGGAAAGACATTCAGACTTGTTCACATGGGCTTATTAGCAGGTGGAGAAGCCCTGCTTTCCCAAAACAGTGATGGAGTCCAGAGTCATGGCATGTGAGAAGGTTTCCATGAACACTGAATCTTAACAGACACTGTAATATATTAATAAAATCATATACACATTGAGAAAGCCCAAGGAAGCTTGCAGTCTAAGCCCTGTGCTTGTAGAGAGCTGGAGGAACTGAACCCAATTTAATCCTATTTGCTCCATACAAAGCTCCATGCAAGACTCCCCAAACTAGGCTATTTAGCAGCTTTCCATGAATGGTCATCAGATCATGTGATTCTGTGGTGCAGACAATAGCATCCGTATTTACAGGAGGAATGCAGATTTGCTCTTGGGAATTCCGTGGTGCAGGGTAGGGTAATCTTAAATGGCAGCCACTGTCCTAAATGTAACTGGTGAGGAGACACTCTGGATTCTAGCTTTAAACAAACTGGCACGCCTGCCCTCTGTCTGTGTCCAAGAGCTGGCAAAACTTGATCAAAGTGTGCTGTGGGAGCTCTCCAAGACAACTGGACAGGGAGGTGCATTTCAGAGTGCACAAGTAGGGCTCGAAGAGAGCTTTCAAATGGGATGTATCTAAAAGGTCAGAATTCTAAACAAAACAGAATGCTCTCCTTTCAAAGGAGAACAAGGAAACTTGTTTAGAGGCAATTCCACATTCAGCACAACGTTCTCAGTACTGCCCATGCAGTGCAATCTATATAATTTCCCATCTGCTTTCTGAAGATGAGCGCTTTTGTCAAGTTTTTAATCTTCGTTATTCCAAATGCATCTTATACATGGTAAATAGTGGGGTTAATCATCACAGAGTCCAAAACACAGGAACAATGGTCTTCTCCCCAATCACAGTTTTAAGACTCAATTCCCATTCCCTCCTCCCTCTTAAAAGGTGAAACCACCTTTTGTCCTCATCTTGAAAGGGAAAGCTATTTCTGTTTCCAAGAAGGTTAAAGATGGAATGCAAAAGTTTCAACAAAGTGGAGTAGTTCTCCTTCCCATTCTCTTCCTGGGCAGACATTACCCGAGAGGGTACTACATCACCGCACAACCGGTGCAGCTGTGCAGACTGAGGTCAGGTTTGGTCATCTGGATTTTGGCCACCTGACTCTTTTGTTGCAACAGTAAGGTTTCATTTATCCCAAGGAGAAGGAAAGCCATAGGAACCTATATCCTTCTGGACCAATGATCAGAACCAGAGAATTTGTAATTTATCAAATTGAGATTAATGCATTCCTACTTGCTCACTGAGGAGACTGAGGCCCAGAAATAGGAAGAGATAGGGCCAAATCACTCTCCTAGTGGTGAACCAACAAACATATTGACATCTAAGCACAGATATCTAAGCCTTGCTTGGCTGCACTTGTCTCCATTCTTTGGAATACTGATTTGCATGAACTTATCATAATAAATGGAAACAAATTAGCTTTTTAGATCTTAAAAAAGCTTTGCATGGAGATGCTTTGTATTCCCTGGCTTCTGTTTGAGGCACCTGCTGGCAGACTGCTGATCCACTGGAAGCCAGGGGGACACAACTCTGGGCTGCATCTAGTATGTGGCAGGGCGGGAGGAGTCTTGGTTATAGCGGTCCCTGCACCAGAAAAGAACCCCAAACTCTCCCTCCTTTGAAATGGCAGGACTACTGAAAAATAATTACAAAAGCTCAGTTTCTAGTCAAGAAAATAAAATATTAAAACACAACAATAATATAATGATAATAATTGAAGAATGAAGTCAACTTGCCAAAAAAAGTTTTACAGAAAAATAGCACCTTTGGTAAAAAGTATCTGAAAAATTTGGTTAGGTCTCTAAGGGGCTCAAAGTTATACAAGTATCTGCATCATTTGTGTGCACCCTCCCAGAAACTCCAAGCCTAAGGGACCACTGGGTAACGAGAAGGGTGGCTGTGTATCTAGAGGCAGTGGTTGGGACCATGAGAAGCACAGATGCTGGACGTCTATTATGCGGATGGCGACAGGAAGGGCTGGACGCAGAATGTGTTCCTCTCCACTGGGCTTCTGCCAGACCCCTCCTCTGGGGCAGCCTGCAAAGTTCTCTCTGGCATCATTCGCACTCCCTGCAGGACGTTTATAGCCGTGGCCAACCGTGGTTCAGATCTGCTCCTCTCCCAACCCTGATGCAGTTTCCTTACTTGTCTCCAGCCCCTGAGCACCATTTATAGTTTCTCTCAAAGCACTCCTAGAAATGAAGGCTATGGCCCTTCCCCTCCTCGCCAGCCACCCCCATTTCCTTTTGCAAAACAAATAGACAAAATAAAACTCATTGCTATACAAGCAAATACTGGTGATTCGGCAATTGTAGCAGACACTTGGATATACTGAACTCAGCGCTGAAGTGAAAGAAGGTGCCAGGCTCTGGACGCCCTTCCCAGATGCCTCCTCTTTAGATCTCTTTGGTGCTCACTTTTTTGGTCTTTTCAGCTGTTTCCTTTGAGATGCAGGAGAAAATAAGCATTGTGAATTAAAAAAAAAAAAAAAAGAATCATTGGTATCTATCTAGTCCTCAAGACTTTATATAGCATTGACAGATACATGCTTGTGCTAAATTTTCATTCTGTTTACTTGTCTGTCTCCTCCGTGGATGAGAAGAACCTGAGGGCAAAGATCAGGTCTTATTTTTGACATGGTCACATAGGGGCTGTCACTGAATTAGTAGCTGACCCCACTTGAACGCCTGTGACACAACAGGTCAAACATGATTATCCTCATTTTAAAAATGAAGAAAAGGATACTAGATGCAAGTGCTACAAGATATTCTGGATCCCAGTCCAGAGAGGTGTTAAGAAGAAAGGTTCTGGAGGCAGACTGTCTGAACTTGAATCGTGGACATGCTATTTTCTGGGGGACTTTAGCCATGTTATAGAAACTTCTGTGCCTCAATGTCCTCAACTACAAAATGAGGGTAATAAAGTGCCACCTCTTACAACAGTGTCACATTTCTCCAAAGAAGCCTTTCTTACTTACGGCCAGTAGGCACATGAGAAAATGTTCAATGTCATTAGTCATTAGGGAAATACAAGTCAAAACTACAATAAGATGCTACTTCACACCCAGTACAATGGCTAAAATAAAACATAATGGACAATGACAAATGTGGTGAGTTTGTGAAAAAAGAGCAACACTGCTGGCAAGGATGTGAAATGGTACAGCCACTTCGGAAAACAGTCTGGCAGCCCTCAAAAGATTAATCACAGAGTTACCATAGCATCCAGCAAGTGCACTCGTAGGTATATACCCAAGAGACCTGAAAACATAAGTCCACACAAAAACTGGAACAAGAATATTCCTAGCAGCATCATTCATCATAGCAAAACAGGGGAAACAACCTAAATACCAGCTGACGACTGGATACACAAAATGTGGTATATCCATACAATGGAATGTTATGTAGCCATAAAAAGGAATGAAGTGCCAACCTATGCTATAACAAGGATAGACCTTGAAAACATAATGCTAGATGAAAGCAGTCAAACAGAAAATGGCAAATACTGTATGATTCCATTTGTGTATGTCCAGAATAGGCAAATCGAAATAGAGTTAGAAAGTAGATGAGTGGCCGCCAGGGGCTGGGAGAAGACAGAATGGGGAATGACTTCTAATGGGCCTAGGGTGTCTTTGTGGGATAATGAAAATGTTCTGGAATTAGGTAGTAGTGATGGTTGATGATCTTGTGAATATATAAAAACCACTGGATTGTATATTTAAAAGGGTGAATTTTATGGTATATACATTAGATCTCAATAAAAAAACTAATTAGGAAATAAAAAACAACAGTGCCTGGCATCTAGCAGACACGGTTGGTTCTCCATCCATAGCCCCTTGCCTTTAGCAGTTCAGTACACGGGTACGGCTTCTTACTGCCAGCACCTGCACCTCTCTGCCTGAGGCTTTCTCTGGCTGCTGGAGCCTGCTTTGCCCACACATGTTGGCAGGCCAGAAATGCCAGGGAATTCATGTCGCTGGTGGCAGCCCTTGCCAATGGCTGATGAGAGTTTGTGTAGGAACGTGCCTTCTCCCTTCCCCCTCAGGAATGGGAACTCTTGTTCCCAGAGATCCACAATAGGACTAAGCTCCACACGCCCACAGTGGTAACATGCCTTGGTAGACGCTCTTTATTGCTTCCTTCCCTTCCTGGGCTGGCTTCCCAGCTCCCTGTCTAGTGTCTCCTAGGATTGCTTCCCAAATAAACTATTTGTACTCAAGTCCTTGCCTTAGCGTCTTCTTTCTGAGGGAACTCACATAAAACAGACATGTAAAAATGTTAGCTATTATAATCCACTCCTCACTGCCTACTCTGATCATTTCCCCACCCCAGAGGAAAGGAATTCCTATTAAGTTTTTTTTTTTTCTTCTTTTATGTGGTTGCACTCATCTGGAGATTCAAGACTGATGAAATGTGGAAAAACAAAAGGCTGGGAGCTTCCGCTTAAAAAACTGACATGAGGGGGGTGCCTGGGTGGCTCAGTCAGTTAAGCATCCGACTTCGACTCAGGTCATGATCTCGTGGCTTGTGGGTTCGAGCCCCACATTGGGCTCTGTGCTGACAGCTCAGAGCCTGGAGCCTGCTCTGGATTCTGTGTCTCTGCCCCTCCTCTACTCACGCTCTCTGTCTCTCTCTCAAAATAAATAAATTAAAAAACAAAAAACTGACATGAGGTTTCTATATTATGAGTGACAATAATGACAAAATGCATATAAAAACCATCAATAAATATGAGCAATTTTATTTTTGAGCATTATTAATATTAATAATTATTTTGAAATCAAATATTTCATCTCAATAGTTTAGCAGCTCTTGTGACTGTTAGATTCTCTCAAAACTTAAGTCAGAGAGAAGGCTTGTATAACAGACCCAGTATACAGACAGGTGATCTGAGGCACAATGTCCTTTGTTAACTACATGGTAAATCAGGGGCAAGACAGGCCCAAGAGTCAAGCACATCCATGTTTTCTCTCCAGGCCTTTACCATCTATGTCAGTGAATCGCTATTCTGCCAAGAGCCTTTTCCCCAAGAAGATCTTCAATTTGAAGACACAGAACCTGAACAGAATTCTTATTTATTATCTTCTCAAGTCTCCAGGAAACTCTAAGTTCTCTCGGTTTTGAAAATCCCAGGCTGTTTTCTAACCAGCTTGGCATTTAACTGAAATATCTTTTATTGTGGTCCACATTCACTTATTTCCTGCTTGTTGCCCTCAAGGAGCTCACAGTCTTCAGGTCCGGGCACTGGTCGTGACAGGAAGCAGTAACACTTCCATAGACCATGCTCATTTGCAAACCACTTCCAACATATTTGCAAATCACCACCTGGCTAATTCTTGCTTCTAAAGCAATTTACCAAGTTGTAACCTACATCTGTTGGGACCTGCTGGGCCACACAGGACTCCATTAGGGAACTGTCTGTATCATGGTTTGATAGCATAGGTTTATCATTCAGGACCTATTGTATGGAACAGAGTGGCTCCTTGGACATCTGGAGCATTAGGCGATATCTGAATGGCAGAAGGGCTTAGTGGCAGCAGCAATACCTGAGCCAGCATGGAGTCTGCAACTCACCTGGTGCTTCTGGAGCTCCTGGACATATCTGGTCATCTCCTCCTCTGTCTGGGCCTGGGCCCCCTTCTGATTCTTTCCTGGAAGAAGAACCAAAGCTCAGGGCAGTGCTCACTGATAGAAGCTAGTTAGGGATCCTACCAATATCTACCTTTTAGGCTCTCAATTTCATCTCCCATTTAATCTATGGAAGGAGAGGGGAACTGCCTGCATATCTCTGAATATGAAGTGTCCCAGTTCAACTGACACCTCCAAAGTAACACTGTGAACCAAGCAATCTCTTCCACCCCCCCACCCCAGCCTCTGTTCCTAGTGTCTCCGACTGCTCCAGCACGTATATCCATGCCAGGCACTGGCCCTGCCGTAAAATCTATGGGGAATATCTGGGTCTTGACTCAGGACGTTCCTCTGGGCTAGGGATTCTCAACCATTCACATGGAGAACTTTTCAAAATACACGTGTTTAAATTCCACTTTTAGACTCTGATTTAATTGTTGTTGGGCACCAGGATTTTGTAAAGTTTCTAGGTGATTGCAATGTGCAGGCAGGGTTGATAGCCACTATATCTAGCAGTGTTTCCCAAACTTACGTGGTGATTAAAAAAAAAAACCATAGAATATATCTTAAAAGTGGAGGTTCCCAAGCTGCTCTTTTGTGGGTTTGATTCAGTAGGTTTGGGATAGACTCTGTACATTTACCAAGTATAGTGTTTGCCGTCAGGAAACACTGCTCCGCCATGCCTTCTTGAGTTTGGCATTAATCACAGCAGTTTCCCTCAGCTGTGGCTCTACCTGGCTTTGTATCTTGATGTCACGTTTTCTTTGCCCCATTGAGATTTCTGATCTAAGACCAGACTAACATTCAGGTACTGACTCTGGAGTGCTGCCTCTACAATGTCCTCTCAGCTCCGTGGCCCACACACCAAGACATGCTCACCTTGGGGCACCACCATCTGTGGTGCTCTTTATACCCACAGGGCTCTAAACCTGGCCATCCAGAGAGGGAGGACAAGCTGTCCAGTGTGGCTGTGGAAGTGGGCATTGTCCCATGGAGGTGATCATTTGGGTTTTGTCTGATGCATGTGATGGGGCTTATTATCCAGGTGATCAGGCTTATTCCATAAGGCAGATGTTTAACAATTGCCTGTCTTAGAAATGGATGCCTACCTTTACAAAGCCAGGCCAGGAGCAGTTAGATGTGGGGAGCTACTGCAGGGGGTTTGGGGAAGATGAATGTAAGATGCTTCCTGATGGAGGCAGGCTGGGGTAGTATTTTGAAATGTTCTCTCTTGGCTTCAGTAGCTGCTGTGTGCCTGGTCTGGATACCTTTAGTTTTGACTTCCAGAAATTTCTAGGATTTCTGTCTCTAAACAGCCTCTTCCTACTCTTCCATTTGTCTCTGGAATTGTGTTGGCTTCCTGCCTTCCCACTTTGAGAAGAGACTTGGTCCTGGGCAGTAAAAGACTAGGGATCCCCTGGTACAATTGAGTTCCATTTGTAAGCTTCTTATCTAGAAAAACATCTTCTGGGTCCTTGACCTCTGTCTCCCAGTTTCCATCTTACCTGACCTTCCTGAACATGATCCTAAGATCATCCCATTCTTTCTTGTCTCAGTTTCTTTAAGGTATAATTTTAAGTTCATCCCATCTGGTGGTTCCAGATTGGGGCTTGGTTCCTACTGACTTTTCTTCTCAAACCCAATGTAACTCTCTATTCTAGACCTGATCTCACCCTTTTCTGTCTTTCCTCTACTCCGAATTATGCCTGTTTTTTCCCTATAACCTGGCTTTGATTCAAGAGTTTCTTTTGATCTTTGGCTCAGATGGCCCCCAGACTTGGGGCCATTTGGTTTCTGCACTGGTCCCCCAAACTCTCTGACACCTCTATGTCTCTAATCCACCCTAACCATGTCTCAGCTTTCTTTTTTTAGGCGTTATCCAATTCTGTTAATTCAAAGAGGGTCTATGAACATTTTTCCTTTCTCTGCTGGATATAGGTGGCAAGCAGGAGTCATTTTGTTTTCAAACCACCTAAGTCTTTTACATATAAGATTTCCCAAGCTGTCATAAGGATCAAGTGGGTTAATATGTAGAGTGCTTAGTGGAGTGCCTGGCACATAGTTCTCACTAAGTATTTGCTTTCATTATTATTATGATGATTCCAATCTCACATCAACATTTGATCTTGCCCTGCATCTTAAACCTCTCTTATGCCAAGCCTCTGGAGTGATTTGCAAACGTAATGCATCTGGCCTAAGTGCGTTGCCCAGTGCTGCCCACTGGGTGCTCCAACGTTACAGGTTGGAGTCTGTCACTTGCTCCCCAGTTTCCTTGCTCCTGGCCACTGCCCTCTTCTCCATCATCCCCACCCTGACTTCTCTCATGGTGAGTTCACAAAGGAATCCCTCTCCCTGCCGTCCCTTCTTTCTGCCTGGGGCACAGCTCACCATCACAGGTCATGGCTGTGCAGACCCAGTTTCCACAGGCACAGACACAACGGTTACAGTCCACCTCGGTCTCTGCTCCATCTGCATATGTCTCATCCTCCAGGGCACACTCTGTTGGGACCAGAAATAAGGGGCAATAGTTTAGGGTGAGAGTGGAACAAGACATCTTGGCCATCGTCTGTGCACCTTACCCTTTTCCCAGACAAGACCTGCTTCTGCTTAACCTTCAGAGGCACCATATCTGAGTAAATGATGCCACTGATCCAAAGATTGTTGGATCCTAACCTCAGCACAGAGTTGATGGGCTGGGGCCCAGTCTGGAATTGTGAAAGGGAATTTTCTTAGCAAGCTCTGGAAAGTTCCATCAATTCTATCTTGCCCCTCCCCCCGTCCCCTGCCAAATGCCCTCATTCCCTTCAACTCCACATATTTCTTAGGTTAAGCATACTCCTCTCTGGAGGATTGAAGGTCGGGTTGAGGCACTTGAGGAACTCTTGGAAGCTGAGTTTCCAGTCAGCATTTTCGTCAGACAGTTCAATGAGAGCATCAACACAGAGTCCTCTGAAACAAAAAACAGGAGAAATGTGTCAGTAAGACCCTGATTTCACTCCCGCAGAAAGGACCTAAGCATTGGGATCACATACATGTGGGGCCTCCAGAGGAGGCCAAGGAGACAACTGCTAACTGAGGAACTTTCTACACGCCTTCCCACAACTATCATCCAACCTGACTCCTGTGAGCATCCAGACTTTACTTGGTTATACTTGATGTCAGATCATTTACATTGTTCAAATGTTCTTCCAAGAAGACTAAAGTTTCCTGAATGGTTGTGTTCACTTTGATTGGCATATGTTTTCACTACCTGTGCACCTTCTGTGAGCAATTCCCTTTCCCCATGGTACTGGTCAAGTCAACCAAAGTAGGAAAATCAAAACAGAGGGGAGACAAATAGATGATAGGAATGGAATATGGGATCTGAAAGACTATGGAGTTCAAGCAGGCATTATCACTATCACTATCTAGAAAGAGAAATGTTTAGAAAAGTTTAATGGAATCCTAGTTCCCTCACTCTCCCCTTGGCTTGGATGTGAGCCTTGGTTCAATCACTGACTACCCAAATGGCCTTGAGCTAGTTCTTCAACTTTTCTGAGCCTGTTTTCTCATCTGTAAAATGAGGACAGGGAGCCCTCCTTAACTGGATTGTTATGAAGGTCAAACATTGATCTTTAAAATAAAATATTATCTAATTTCAAGTTATCAAAATATGAAGGATTTTCAGATACTATATTCTAAGGCCATGGCATATTACTAAGGGAGAATCATTCTAGAATCTGGGCTTCATGCTTTATATTTCTTCTGAACAAAAGAGGTGCTATTCCTATTTTTAATTCTTGCTGATGTACTGGAGCCACAGCAGAAGTTTCTTAGGGGTTAATTTTTATTAATATTTGCTCTGGAATAATATCAGAAAAGGACAGGGACATGCTTACATTTGTGACAGTTAGGGTTCTCTATATGAAATAGCACCAACTATCTTAAAAGTCAGAACTAAAGCTATTTTAGACTTATAGTTGAATAATACGGTGATATAATTCCTTCCAAAAATTAACCATTAAAACATTATCATGACACTCAGAAACACATTTGCTCTGATGTGACCTTGATAATTTACTTTAAAATTACATTCTTCTATTCCTTGTAAGTTCTGGCAAAACAACAACTATTTGATCAGATACCAGTGGTGCTCAATATATTAGTTCATAACGTTCACAAAATAGACCAGGACAGAATTCCTGTTTTGCTTTTTACTTCTCACTGGCACTGGTGGCCCCTCTGCAGGTAGGAAGGAGTTCAACTCCCCTATCCTATCCAGCCTTCCCCTCATGGGCCCCTCCCTGACCCCTCAACTGCACTCACCTAAGCAGCTTGTTGTTCTCCTGGTCGGCATAAGTAGTGATGTTGATGGCAGTTTCATTCTGCTCCACAAATTTCAGTAACTCACTGGAGTCCAAGCGAGAGTCACCATTATCAACGTTCTGGAAAGGGGATAAAGAGCACTTTCAGGAACATTTTGTAGATCTGTCTCCCTCTCAGCTTGACCCATCTTTGGCTCTTGACCCATTCCAACCCTGCCTTGGCCTCACACCTACTGCAACAAAGGCTTGAAGACTTGGGGCCCCCAGAGAAGGTACCAGCACCCCAAGATGAGAGACTGAAAGTGTGTGGGCAGAGGCCACTGGGGGCCTTTCAAACCCACACCCTGCTCAGAAGGGCAGTGGGAACACAGACCTGTGTTACCCACGCACCTGCGGTGCTGGAGAACCCCCTGCAGCCTCATCCCTGACACCGTCTTGCAGACATTCTCCTCTTTAACATCTGGGTTCAAGCCAGCCACCATACCCTGTTCTCAAACCTTGATGAACATTATGAATCAGATTCTGTGGCAGAGCCCAGGATGTCTATTTCTTTTTTCTTTTTTTTAAGCTTATTTATTTATTTTGAGAGACAGGGAGAGAGTGTGCGCACATGCACACATGAGCAGGGAAGGGGCAGAGAGGCAGGGAGAGAATCCCAAGCAGGCTCTATGCTGTCAACACAGAGCCCAACTTGGGGCTTGATCTCATGAACCATGAGATCATGACCTGAGACGAAATCAAGAATCGGATGCTTAACTGACTGAGCCACCCAGGTGCCCCTGGATATATATTTCTAACAAGCTACTTGGGGACAACAATGCAGGCACCCCTCAGAGCTCACTCTGGGAGTCACATGACCACTTCTTGCTGCTTATTTCCCTGGCTTGCTGTCATGCTTCACATTCACACTGGTGCCCCTAACCAAGCACAGCAGTGAGAAGTCGCAAGCAAAGGCCCCGAATTGATAACCTGCAGGCAGAGGTGGTACAAAGCCCTCCACCTCTCTGCTCTGGGCCCCACCGCAGACATGTGTAGGGGTCCTCGGCTTACCAAGCACAGGCTGTCCTCATGACCTACCTGACATCCCACGAGCACAAGGTGAGGGTATAGTGAGCTCAGGCATTATCCCCTCTTGGCAAGGTGCTAAACCTAGACCATAGCCATTTGGGACTATTCAAAATGCCCAGGCCCTAGCTGCTGGAAGAGGGTGTCGATTTCAAGTTTCCATCAAATTCTAAGTTGGATGTTGCTGCCCTCCTAGATAGTTCCAATGGAGGAAAAATGTTTTTAGAAAAAATTCTTTCCATAGGCTGCCTCAGACTGCTGCCCTGGGAAATTATCAGCATTCCCATGTTACGTTGAAGGTGGCTCACCAGATGATATAAGGGATTCTGAAGAAAAGTCTGTCCAGGCTTCCCGGTAGAAGGGACTCTCCTTCCATGACTGTCATGTGTCACATGTACTCTGCTATAAGGTTGTAAATCTTTCCATGATATACATAATGACAGGCATGTACAAAACAACTATGTCAGCCCTTGCTTAGTACCTTTTTATCATTCTTGACAAATTTTTTAGGAACAGGTCTCAGATGTTCCCCCTGAGGAAACTGCCCTTCACCTTGTGAAGTCTTGATTAATTAATGGAGAGAAATGAAATAAGTTTGGGCAGAAGTCATTCTTAGCAGTACAGGACTTTCTTGAATACAAACGTTGCAAGTGCTGGACAGACAGGAGCAGCCCTCACATACCCCAACACCATCACAGCTTGTTGAGAGTGAGAGTCTGAGGAGGAGCCATGCAGCCATGGCTGCAGACCCAGTTCCAGGCAGTGCCTGGGGGCACCAGGAACCTGGTGGCTACAGCCCAGCCAGCTCCCAAAAGGCAGTGCTGAGTGCACACAGTTCACTCAGGCCACGATCCAGGCCTGAAGCCGAGGGGAGGGCCAGCCTGTGTGCACGCTCATCTCACAAGGGCCCAGCCAGGCCTCCCCAGGCCAGCGCTGTATGTGGAATCCATAGGAAAAGAGGTCTGGTACCCACCCCAGAAACAGCCTGGACTGCCTGGGGAGGGGGGGGGCATACTTAGGGGGTTTTGATCTTGGACCATGAACCAACCTAATTCACTCAGCCTCTATTCAGCTAACCACTTACAAAAGGCATAGTACCTCTGTATGCCTACAATTCCCAGCTCTGTATGTGATGTAGCACCCTTTTCTTCTATGTAACTGTAGGGTTGTAGAAAGGCGGGAAGATGTGTGATATGAAACCCATGCTTGGGGCTTACTGCAAGTTTGGAGACTGTTCAGAGGATGAGCTAGGCCAGACACTCACTCACACACAACATCTGTGGTGACATGGGGAACATGATACCAGAGTCAAGGAGATAAGAAGTCTGGCTCCAATTCTGACTCTGGCCACCAGGAGTCCACCACCGAGAGGGGGTGTGTGTATGACATGGCCATGAAAGGCTCTCTCCACCTGCCTGCCCTCTTCATTGTGCTACACTTTCACTTAAGAAATCATTAATGAATTACTAGGTGAAGTAAGAGTCTGGTTTTCATCTTACCCAAATTCTGATTAGATTTTCTTTTCAACTAATTTTGATGTAAGGAATGCCAGCTGGGTTAGAGGGCAGTTCACTGGTTCAGAAACAGTTTCTGTGAGATATCAGATCTCTCACCAAGAGACAGCTGTTTGCCTAGAGGGAAGGAGTCTCTCTTTGAAGACTGCACCACACAGGACTCCGATAATCATCAAAAAATAGATAGTAAAATCCCTGTTTTCTTAGAAGACACTCCCAGAGTGTCTGGGAGAAGCGAGCGTTGTGTCAGTCATGATGAAGCTTTATTGGTTGGGAGTGAGAATGCCCTAGAGGAAAGCCACTTTCTCAAGGGGTCTCACATAGGGGCCTGTTAGAGAAGTTACTGCCAGGACAGGTGGACAGGCGTCAAGGGGGGTGTGGGGCCCAAGCACTTGAGAATCAAACTAATAGCAGGTGTCACTGATGCCTAAGGCAGGGTGCCACCAAGAGGCCACTAAGAATGATTACAAGGTCCCAAGGGGCCCTTTGGAACCAGTGGCCTCCTGGGCCTTAATGGCCATGGCAGAGTCACTGTATACAATGACCTGGCAGGTGCTGCTCGCTCAGCTTCTGAAAAATCAATTTCTTCAAGTTTCTTTCTGCTCCTGTGTGACTCTCCTGGCTCAGTACTATAACGCTTTTCTGTGTAGATGAGGAACCACCCTTCCCCAAGGGCCCTGTAATGTTGGGGGGTTGACATAGAGGATAGACTGAGAAGGGCTGTGCTTTCTTGTCCACATGAACAAGAGCCAAGGGAGCTTGTTTCTTCAAACACTTGGAACCCAGAGAGACATACCTTCTGCCATAGGAGAGAGAGCTCTCTAAAGACAGGAACACAAGCAAAGTCTGAAATGACCAAACATTCAGTATTTCTCTATCTGTAGGGTCCATTAATGTTAGTGAGAAAGAGGAATCCACAGACTAGGCTGGTGTTGACACAGAGCTGCCAAGAAATCCTTCATGTGCCTGGGGTTGCTCCTGAATGCAGGCAGGTTAGGGCTTGAGATGGCAGGCCCTGGAGGCACCTGGGAACATGTACATCTGCAGATGAGCATCTGAGGGCATCCACCCAGAGATGTGTGTCTGTAAGTAAAGGGAGCTTTTTGCTTATGTGGGAATGTGGGTATCTGAATGTGTGTCTGTGAGTAGCTGTGTCTCTGTCTGGGGTGTGCATCTCTGTATGTGGGATGTGTGTGTGTGTGTGTGTGTGTGTGCATGCTTCTGCTTGTGGTATTTTTATCTCTGGGTGTGATGTATGTATGTGTGTATCTGTGTTCTTGTCAATCAGCTGCAAGAGCACCCTTCACTGATTCTTCCAACAACTGTCTCAAGCTCTCTGAGAAATATCCATGCCATGGGAGCTCCACTCATTGCTAAATACTATTTCCAATCTTTTTCAAAGCAGAATCTCTCCTATCTCCAATTGGAACAACCTGTCTCTTAAACTAAATAATGGGACAAGCAATATCTAGGTTAATGAAGAATCCTGGAACCATGAAATGCCAGTCCATTGACTCTTCCTAGATGATGAAGCACTCTACAGGCCAGGGACAGTCAAGTTAATGATTTAGAGAAATGTCAGACCAGGTGGGAAAGAGGCTGAAGTGGCTTAGGTATAGGTTGAGATCAAAAGGTATACTGTATCAACAGCCAGCTCTATAAGGTAAAGGGTAGGGGGATACATACAGGGTAGGGGGATAGAACCTGGCCACATACATGTACATTAGATCCCAAGGGCTCTACTGCTAGAATCCCACTGATCAAGCAGGCCAGAAAGCAACTGTCACAGCTTCATGGAACAATGGGGAGATGTGATCTGGTGATGGGAGAGGAAGTATCTCTTTGGGGCTGAAGAGTCTTTTTATTTTATTTTATTTTATTTTATTTATTTATTTATTTATTTTATTATTTATTTTTGAGACAGAGAGATTGCGAGCAGGGGAGGGGCAGAGAGAGAGGGAGAATCTCAAGCAGGCTCTACTCTGTCAGAGCAGAGCCAATATGAGGCTCAAACTCATAAAACCACAAGGTCATGACCTGAGCTGAAATCAAGAGTCAGATGCTTAACCGACTGAGCCACCCAGGTGCCCCTGGAGCTGAAGAGTCTTTGACCCCAATTCTGGATTACCTTAAAGTACTTGTCTAGGATTTCACTGTAGTTGCTGCCTTTAGAGAACCAGCCATCTGGAATGATCTCTGCTTCCAGCCACTGGATGATGCGACGCCGGAGCTCATCCCGGTTGGACTGATAGCAAACAACTGCAGGAAAAGGGAGTGAGGTCAGCTGAGCAGTGAGACCCCAATGTCACCCAGCATCCACTGCATGGGAGGTTCAGTGCCTGGGGCTCTGCATGTGGCATCTCATTGAATTTTTACAGTACTCCAGGGACACGAGATTATCACACACATTTTACAGGAGTCAACCCAGGGTACACAATTAGAAAGTATCTAAGCAAGGATTCAAGCTTATGTTTCTAAAAAATTTATACGAATTGAGAATATTGAAACAGAGAAACTACGTTGCTTAGGTGAGAAAAACGCAGAGCGGAAAAATAAAGGACTATTTTCATTAACTAAGGAAGCTGAGGGGGAAAAAATCAATCAATCAATAAATAGCTCTCTTGGCTCAAAGATGAGCTGAAATAATAAGTGAATGAAGGAGCACATGACAATTTTTTATGCCACAAGATTTTAAATTCTCTCTCTATAGCTTTTTCCTTTTACCAACTGGGTCTATCAAATCTTTCTCCCACTTAAAATTTTACACTGTCTGCATTATCCTTTGTTCTAAACCACAGAACACAAGGTCAAGAAAGGGCCATGCTAAAACCCTGCTCTGGACAGCTGTTCTAAGACACATGGCAATAACAGGTGGGACTGAGAGTTGGGTAGATGAGGTAAAAGAGAAACGAAAGCCTTGACAAAAGGAAATTTCTGGAAGACAACACATGTTGGGATGTGAAAAGGGCCCTGAGCCAGAGGAATGTAAATCTGGGCAATTTTCCCCACTCTGCCACTTCTAAGCTGTGTAATTCAGGAAATTCACTTAACCTCTCTGAGCATCAATTTCCTCACCTATGAGGTCATTACAATAAGGTCTACCTCACAAGATTATTGCAAAGATCTGAAGAAAAGTATATGCTAAATCTTCTGTAACTGTAACAGTGAAATTTTAATTTTTATTCATAGAAAATCATAGAAAAAGTCCCACTTGCATTTCCAATGATCCCCTTTCAAACAAGTTGTGCCTTCTGATTCTGTTAGTCCTGTGACATCAGCATGTCTTACAGATCATTGAAAGAAAGACTCAGTGGCTTTCCTGTCCTTTTAATGCAATCACTACTTAGCAAAAATGGACAACACAGCCAACATTCCAACCTAACCAGCTGCTTCAAATGTCAAGCACAAAAAAATGCAGTTTTGCAGCTTTTCTGAGCTGTGTTGAGGAATGACCAGTTCTGGCTCACAAGTTCTAACACACAGATCTTATGGGCTTCAGCAGGGAATGTGAAACACAAAATTCCTTCATGAAAAGAATTTCCTCCCTAAAATGCACACTGTAGGAAAAATAGACACTCACCTGGGCTGGCAGATGGACTTACAGATTTCTTCTCTGCAAGACAAAAGGAGAAAATGCATAATGCAGAATGAAGACAAAAGAACATGTCTGTGTTTTGCTAGGTTTAAAATCATCCCACACTACAGGGGCCACTTGCAACATTTTCATCATTTGGTCCTGGGTTCCTGTCTCCTTTCCTTCTTCCAGGGCCTATGAATGGGGATCTTTTCTTCCCTGCTTTGTTTCACATTTTTAGGCCACTGAGTTGCCCTGTAGTCTCATACCTCCTCCTATTAGGTTTGTGGGGTAGGGTTGCGTTGCTGGGACTTTGAGAATTCATATGGAATTATTATAGAGAGGGAAATGGAGTGGAAACCCACACATAGGAAACAGCTTGTTTCTCCAGGGCAGTTCAAGGCTGAGAGGGGCTGAGTAGGGCTGCTATTTGGTAAGGAACTGGTATCTAATTAGCAAGGAGGTTGAGACCCCCTCCAATCTTATCTGAATGGCAGTGGTTTGAGTGCAAAATAGAGAAAATATATATAGCAGGGCTGAGAGGTGCCCAAATTTAAAAAGTGAAATTCACCTACTTTTTAAAAAGGTATAGAATTCATGTAAACACTTCCTTATTATTATTGACTATTGACATGGCCCCCTATCTACTGCAGAAAGTACTGGAACCCCCCTTGGGAGGCTAATGCAGGAAACCCTGGGCAGAGGCCTGGGCTATCCAGTGCAAACCCAGTAGGCTCATGAGCGCCAAGAGGCTGCCTCTCCAAGTAGCTGGGTGGTCCCTGTGGCATCGGGTGCTGTGGTCAAGTGGAGAGGAATCTGGGCAACCAGGCCACACTGCTCTGTCCTCTGGCTCCTCTGGCTGGAGTTGGGAGGCACTTCTTACCTTTGCAGTGTCCATCATAATCAACCTGGATTTTGGATCCAGTGAGGCAGGCGTCTCGATGTAACTCACAGTGGTTGAGGTAGGTCTTGCCATTGCTGCCGCACACAGGCCTCTTGTGAGGTTTGCATTGCTGAAACAGACCCGAGGAGGCGGTCTGTGCAGTCGGGGCACCAGCACACACATGCATCCACACATGCATCCTGGGGGGAGCCTCCCTACTAGGGTCTAGGGTCTTTGTAGCCCTGCATGGCCCCGTGTTGATCCTGGCTTCGGGTCATCTCTTCTATTCAGTGAAGAAATAGACCGTCCTGACCCTATCAAGTTAGCACGGAGGGCATTTTATTGGAAGTCAGAAATTTGGATTCTCTGTCACTTTGGAGAAAGTCACTCAATGTCTCTGGATCTCTAAGATCCCTTAAAATGCCAACGTTCTATGACACAAAAGAGCCAGAGCTGAGAGTGGGGAATGTGCAAATCGAAAGGCAGGCAAACACACACACACACACACACACACACACACACACACACGAATTCTTCAGTTCTTCTGGGGTTTAACTAGAAAGATCTTTGCTTTCTTGCTTTGTATAGTATTTCAGAGCCATTTTGTTTTTCTCCCGATCTCACAATGCCTCTTATGAGGCTGGGGTGGGGATGCCTGGGTCTTTGTTAAGTACCACAGAGAATCATTATGGACAAGGAAATGGAGTAAAGTTCACCTGGCAACCCAGTTTTACTTTGGCTATTTAAAGGGCCATGGTCACAGGCAAGCTCAGTGTCTTTAGTTTTTTGTGTGGTTTTTGAAAGGGGGGGGAAGGAGGAAGCCAGTTCAGCTCAGCCCTAATAAAGGCACGAAAGCAAGAAAGAGTAGATGTAGTGAGAAGAAACACAGAACACTGGAGCTGGAAGGTAGCCCCACCTCTCCAACTTTAGAGGAGAATACCAAAGCCCGGGAAGACAAACATCATTTAACTAGTATTTATTACTGAGTTCTTACTAAGTATCCTACATGCTGGACAAACATGGTCCCTTGCCTTCACAGCATCCAGTGGCAACTAATTTGCTCAAAATCACAGAAATACATGTGGTCAAAGCAAGACTAGATACTAGGTCTCCTAACTCTAAGTACAGGCTCGTGCTACCACACAGTGGCCAGGCACTCCTCTAGTGAGGTCCACCTAGGGTTCCCAATGGAACTGTTTTTCAGGTGTCTGAGCTGGGGAGACTTCCTTTCGGGGACAATGAATCAGGATTCTTCACCTGGGGACTAAAGCGGGTATATTTATTTGCAGAAAGACAGATATATTCCTAGGCTTGTGTTGGCATGGTAGAAAGGAGAAGGAAGGACACATATCCAGGGTATTTATGTTTGCTGAAGAGGGAGAACTTGTCAGAATCCTGGTTACAAAAGAAGTATTCCTCGAAAGCTCACACTGCTGTTTAAACTTCATTAAAAAAAACAACAACCCACAACCTTGTAAAGTCTTCATTTCATCTAGTATTTTTCTAAAAACTTGCATATCCTTTGACTTGGCAAGCCCTAGTGGGAATCAATCTTCTAGAAATAAAGGCAGCAGTACATAAGGATATTTTCACAAGGATGTTATTTTTTGCAGTGTAAATGATCCATGAAACAACCTAAATGTCCATCTATGGGAAAATTATTACATGAATATGATTCTATTACAAAATATTTATTATGACTCCATTTTTGTATAAAATAGGGGGCAACCCTGTATGTGTATAGTAGCACAGAAAAAAAAAAGTGGAGAAACTTATACCAAACCACTAACACTGGTCATCTCAGACTAATTGGATTTGAGGGTTATGGGGAAGATTATTAATTTTATGTTTATACAAATACCTGTATTATTTGACATCTATAAAGCAATTGTTAAATTTGTAACTTAAAAATCTTATAAAACTAAACATTTTTTTAAAAAAGAAAAAATATCCCTGCATTTACAGATTGTTTTTAATGTCTGGGATGAAAATCCCTTGTCTTTCATATAGACAAGGTAGGCTTTTTTTTTTTTTTTTTAATTTTTTTTTAACGTTTTATTTATTTTTGAGACAGAGAGAGACAGAGCATGAACGGGGGAGGGGCAGAGAGAGAGGGAGACACAGAATCGGAAGCAGGCTCCAGGCTCTGAGCCATCAGCCCAGAGCCCGACGCAGGGCTCGAACCCACGGATCGCGAGATCGTGACCTGAGCTGAAGTCAGACGCTCAACCGACTGAGCCACCCAGGCGCCCCAAGGTAGGCTTTGATAAAGATGATGACATGGTTGGCACTGCTCTGCTGACTAGCAGCTCCAGCAAGGTAGCTATATTGGCCTTGGCTATTGCCCTCTGGCTCCTGGCCTCAGAACTTACCTCAATGCAGAGGCAGGTGGGCTCTCCCTTCTCTGTGACTGCACATTCCCGGCCAGCTCCACAAAACACATTGGCACAGATCTTGGATTTGCTTCTTAGTTCTTCCTAAAACACAAAATCATAACGGAAATCAGGTCACTGAGATGAGGGCTTCATGGGATAAGCCACTGGTGGCGATTATCTTTCAGTCTCAGGTCTTGGTCTGGAGTTGCAGCTCATGGTTACTGAAGAGTTCTGAAATTGCTAGAAACTGTCCCCAACAGCCAGCACCAGACTTGCTGGCACTGCTCCAGCTCAGGCCCAGCTACCTCTGAGTCCCTCAGATTGTTTCTTAAAGAGCAAGAGACTCTTTCTTATGTGTTTCCTTTCTTTTAAAAATGGTCATCGAACAGTCCTTAAACGTCAACACTACAGTATATAGCTATACAGGCACAGACTCTGTCCTCAAGAAGCTCCATGACTCTCTGAGGAAACTCACAAATCAAGAGACATTTAGCAAGCAACAGAGAAGTGCAGCAACAGGAACACCAGCAGCCAGAGAAGGAAAGGAGGGCAAGACCCAAATGAGACTTTCTGAAGATAGGCTGCCTTGACTAATTCCTAAAGAATGAGAAGAGTAAGCCAGGGAGAAATAGAAACATGGAGAGAAATATGGATATCTGAAGGACCAAAATCTCACTGAGTAGTGAGTGATATTAAAGGTAATGTCATTTCAAAAGGCAAAAGGATAACTAAACCATCAGAAACATGCCTTTGCTATTATTCAGTATGGCCTTGTTCAAACCCTGTCCACGTCTGCCTCTGGCTTCAAGACCAAGAGGGCCAAACCATTGGAAAGCCAGTAGAATTATCCTCAAACCACTTAAGGTCAGTCATTCCTGCTCAGCAGAACCTACAGGCAGGGAACAGTCCCAGTCTATGCCACTGAAAAGGAGAGCGTATGTAGACACTAATCTGTCAGTGACACATTCCTTCCCTCACGTTAATTAGTGGCTAAAAGGCAGCCCCACCTCATTTGTCACACAGGCCAGCAGCAGTGGTGGTTGAACAAAGGAGAATGTGATTCTTCCAGCCTCTGTCTGACTGCTGAGCAGGCAGTCACGAAAGGCCTCCGGGCTCCCACCCACTGGGGTAGCACTAGCTGTGACAAAACCAACAAAAATGACAAGAGCTGTGGCGGGGTCAGTAAAGGCAGAGATGGAATCTCAGATCCCACCCCTCAGACCATGTCTACCATGTCATGCAGAGAACTCACACACACAAAGCTTGTAATACTAAAATTCTTGTAGTCCGTAAATGTTTCATATCTAAGAATAGGTCAAAGAAAACAAAAAACAAAGTAGATGCTGAAAGCTGAGGACTGCACCCAATACAGCTAGTCTGCTGCCACCTGGAGGCTGCTTTGCAAACTCCAGGGTATTATTTTCTCTCCTGAGCCATCTTGCCTGTCATGCAGGGATCCCATTGGTCGAGAAACTCTTGCCATGCTCACATTTCATTGGTTCATATGCTGTTGCTAAACCCATTCTTTTTTGGGGGTGTTGCTAAGGAAAATTCAATAAAGCTGGCAGGCAGGGGAAAAAAAAAAGAGGAAGTAATCCCCCAAAGGCTGGGATGACTGGATAGCTGTTGTTTCCTAAACTGGGTGTGGAGATAAAAATCAAGCATATATTCTCTGATCAGGGCGCTCATAACTGTGCCTGGGAAGGGAAAGCAGCTCTAAAAAGGAAGAGGAAAAGGCTGCTGCTGACCAGTGTAACAAAATCTCAGATAAGACTACCTTGCCCTCTCCCCCTCATGAAACAACACTCGAACCAAGAGATACAACAAATACATTCCTAAAAAGGCATGCTCAGACATACATCTACACTCAAACAACACACCAGTATACAGCTCCACCAGCAGACCTTTACCACTTAGCTATATGTCTGTCCATAGCCACTTTAATTCTTTGAACCTCAGTTTCCTCATCTGTAAAATAGGGGTAAATACCAGCCCTGCCTTGTGAAGATGAAATAGTATATTTGGAAGGGCATCATAAACTGAAAAGCAAGCAGAGAGCTTCCTGCACAGTAGCCCGTGGCATGTAGAGAGTTCCTTTTATCTTATGTTGTTGTTTTTAGTGAGTATTAAAGAGTAAAGCTTTGACTTCCAGGTTGAATTCAAACCAAGTCAATAGTTCTCAAAAATCATTTGAAGAAACACTCTTATTTAAAACGTAAAATCTATTAGATTTGCAAAATGTTTCACACTTAATTTCATCTTACTGTACGAACAACATTGCAAGGAAATGTATATTATTAGTCTCATTTTATAGATGAGGAAACTGAAGATCAGGAAGGTCAAGTAACTTGCCCAAAGGTCCTAATGCTAAAAATGAGAGGAGCCAGTATTCCAACCTGGATCTAGACAACAGGTGATTACGTTCCCATTTATAAATACCTGGCATTCTAAGTGATTTTGATTCTATGTTATCTTATGTAAGCCCTATGATAATACCACAAGTCAGACATCATAACTCTCCCCATTTTACCAATGATGGAACTTAAGCCTTTGAGGTTAAATAACTAGAAAATGATAGTGCTAGGATTCTACCCAACCAAAGGGAAAGCAGCTCCTTTATATTTGATTTACTTTCATATCCAGAAAATTAAAGGTTTAAAGAGATTAGGACAGGAAGGTGATTTACATAATTAGCAAATATGAGAAAGTGCTTAAGAGTAGCTAGAGAGCTGGATTTGAGCTCCCACATCCCGCCTCTGCTCCTTATTTGCCATGGCCGTGGGCAACGTACTTTCTTTAAACCTCAGTTTCCTCATGTGTGAAATGGGAACACTAATCCCTGTGAGGGGTGTGTGAGCATTAAAGGAGATGAACTGCCTGCTGTACAGCTGAAAGCTGCCGTTGTCACTGATTCTCAATTTCCTCATGGAGCGCCCGATACCACCTTGGTGGTCAGGTCCCCACCCAGCCTCTGTTACCCAGAAACGATACTACTGAGAGCACAAGGACTGAGTGAATGGAAAAAACCCAGATTCCTTCCCGTTTGAGACCAAAGAGAAAGGGGGCAGCGCCAGTCACACAAGCATTCCTCTTTGCAGGTGGCACATCTGTCAATAGGTGGCAATCTCTCTCTTTGTCTTGGAGAACTCAAAGCCGCAATGCAGAGATGCAGCCTTGGCTCCTTGCAGTTCTACCCTCCCAGCCCAGGAGATGTGGAGCAGGAGGTGGGACAGCGGGGTGAGGCAAGCACCCCACAGGCACAGGCAGCGGTACAGAAAACCAAATTTTTGCCGACTTGGGAAAGAGTGTCCTACCCAAAGCTCCCAATCCTCCCCAGTTCTTACCATTCACAGGTGTGCTATAATGCAGAAAAAAACAATGAAAATTTTCTACCTAGAGGTGGCCTCTGTGTGGCATTGAAAGCAGTTATCCAAGCCCTTTCTCGGGGAATGGGAGGTCAGGAGCAACCCTGGGGCTCCCAGAAAGTTCCTGAGCATGGTAGATGGTCTTACCCCTCTGCTGAGTGGAGAACATCTTGCAAGAACATGCACACGGCGTAAACACGCTCATGGAACAGGGCAATCAATGGCTGTCTGGTGGGCAGGGGTGTGGTGAGTAAGGCAGAAAAGAAGCAGGGCAGCAGGTGACATGGTGAAGGTGGTGCTTTGGAATATTAATTTGTGTCTGGTCCCTTCCAACTCAGAAATTTTAACTAAAGTGCAGGGCAGCCTGGATGGAGGCTGGAGGCAAGGGAACCCGCCAGGTGAAACACAGTGAACTAGTGGGGGTGACAAGGACCTAGGGTCCAATGCTAATATTAATTAGAGCACCTACCACTGAGTGAGGCTCTTCACAGATATCTCTGTCCTCACAACATCAGTACAAGTTTCCATAGTTTTACTCCTAACAGATTCAGAAAAGTGACATACAGAGGCCACATGACGAGGGAGAGACTGAGTCAGGACTGGAAGACAGGTCAGCCTGAATCAGAAGCCTCAATATTCCCTCGCAGGGAGGGAACAGTCAAGGGAATAAGGTATGGGCAGAGGGGACAGCTACAAGGGCTAGCATAGGTAGAGGCTGCACAGCACAATGCAGTTCTTTTAAGAATGAGGTCCCAAGCCTGTATTAGAATTTCATCTATGTATAGACAACCACACTGTCATATGGATATGCTCTAGGAGTGTGAGGTCACAGTGTATGAATCTTTAGGTCTGAGTGTACTTATGAAAACGTGATTGACTGAATGGGGTCAGGGGGCATGTTCTGAGGGTGTGAACACTGACATGTTGATAAAAGTCAACTGTATACTTGCTTCCAATGGAGAAACATTGGGTTTCTAGCTTTGACTTTCTGCCTCATCTTCCTGACCTGCTGCTGTGCTATTTTCATTATGCGTCGCCAGTCATGCTTTGTTCATAATGCAAACTCCCCTTGGTAAAAGATGGCCTGGGAACATTGCTAACTTTTACTGGGGAAAAACTTCCTCCCTGAGCAACTGTCAGTCATTGCATGGTAATAATGATACTTGATACTTGCACAGCAAGTTTCATTCATCTGTAATTTTTACTATCATTTTTGATTCTCAAAACTCTTTAGGATAGGCAGGCAGGGGTTAGCTCTTAAGACACTGCCAGACTTAACATCCAATGATGAAGAAGAAACTGAGGCTCAGGGCTACATGTGACTGGTCCAAGACCTCACAGTTGCAGAGCTGGGTCCTGGCTTAGGTGTCCAGGCCCTAATTCCAGCCCTCTTTCCACAAACCACTTTGCCTCATTACAAATCAAAGCTAGAAAAGATATTGTCATGGATCCAAGGTCTAAAAAAATCAATTAGTTTTGCAATTTAAAAAGATCCTTTGCAAACAAAGAGCAAAGCAAGTTATTTGCAAAACCACCAGTAGAGGTGATGGTGTGCCTGAGACTCCGGGCCGACTAGCATTAAGGCTGAACATAAACTACACTTTGAATGTTTAAAGAAAAAAAGTCTTCTAAAGTAAAAATCATTTTCTGGAAGAACACTGTGCTTTGGCAAGGGAGGAAGCTTGTAAGCAAAACCATAAAACTGTCAGCTTAATATATCATTATTTCACTAAAGTGAACTGGGTCAGCTGTGTACCCCCAATCCTTTTCTTCCTTCCCAACTTTCTTTAAAAAAAAAAACAAAAACAAAAAAAAACAGTCCTACTTATGCCAAGGTGGAATTTTGGCTCCACTTGCCACTATTTTGTGACAGAGCGGCTTTGTTGACGTGAGAAAGGCTCTCCTTGCTTTGCCAGAATTAGTCATGGAAACTTCACAGGAACACCAGGGCCCCTCAGATACGCGGAGCACCATGGAGCTTGGGACAAAGGAATTCACAGAACTGGGGAGAGCAGGAGGAGGCCTGGGTGGGGCGCGGGGTGGGACGTTGGCTGCTCCTAGCCGGTGTTCTGGAATGGCACCCAGTAGTACAGGCTGGAGAGCTTGAGAAAGCCAAACCTCTTCAGGACCTTGAAATCTAGCTGGAGCACCACATGACCCTGTTCAAGTCTCTCCAATTCTTTTTCTCTGAAAAGGAACATGTTGCTGCATCCCACATATTCTAAGGAAAGAGCTGAAAGGAGTAGCAATTTCTAGCAGCTGTTCCGATGCACATGGCAGAGGCCTCTGCATCTGCAGGAACGGTGTGCCTCGTGTATTTGTGCTCACAACCAGGCCCTCACCTCAAGGTTAACGCAACACGGCCAGATCCAGGTTCTGAGGAGCCTGGTAAGCTCAAACAATTTGAGACAGCCCCCATGAGAAAAAGAACACACGATTATGACTGTAAAATTGGGCACAGGGCCTTGGGAAGGGGCCTTGTGTGTAATGTCTGAAACTAAAGCTTGATTAGCTCACGGTAAATCTGACTCTCCATCAACCCTATTATGTTCTTCATAAACAAGAAGGCTTTGGGGCTTTTAGTCTACTGGAGCCCTCTTTAATATTTTATACATGTATAACTTATCTCAATTGAACTCCAAGTGTCTGCACATTTTGGCTTCTGACACACTCACCACAGTGCCCTGCCTGAGAAAATCCACAGTAAATGTTTTTTACATTAAATTTTACTGGCGATTTGCTCAAGTTAGTGTCAATGTCGGTGGCCAGGATGTCAGGATGTCTGGGGGAAGGAGTGGCTGGTCTTTATGACATCAAAATAAGGGATGCATCTCCCCAAGAGTATTAGCTTTAAGATAAAAACAAAACAAAACAAAACAAAACAAAACTATTATGGACCTGTCATTTAAGAATTACCTAATTCTGGGGCACTTGGGTGGCTCAGTCAGTTGTCTGATTTCGGCTCAGGTCATGGTCTCACAGTTGGTGAGTTTGAGCCCCACATGGGGCTCACTGGTGTCAACACAGAGCCTGCTTCAGATCCTCTGTCTCCCCCCTCTCTGCCCCTCCCCCATTCTCTCTCTGTCTCTCAAAAATAAACATTAAAAAAAAAATTACCTAATTCTCCCTTGTATTAATTCCTATGTTTAGCTTCTATCACAGCTTATGGGATAACATGTTCTTGACATTTTCTTCTCATTACGTGATAATGTATTTTGTGTCTGGAAATTACTACTTTCAAATTTCAAATGGGACAAGGCTGTTTACCTTAACCACTGTCTTTATTATCTTACAGATGCTGTCACACTCTCTACGTGTTTGCCTTGTCAAAGGGAAGGATCTAGACTGCCATCTTCCTAGGGGAGCCCTGTCACTTTCCCAGCTGCATATTCACTATCTCTGGAATGCCACCCACTCCTATACATAGACCTTTCTTGAGGCAGCCCAGCCCCAGCATGGCAAACAAGGTGATGGTTTCTACATAAGGGTGAGTTAAGTCTGCTGTAATGGCCTTGTCTAGTCATAGTAGAAGAATAGCAGCATTTAATAAACATGAGTTAGAAATATGTTAAGCCCGTTCACACAGGACTGAGAAAAATCTCACATGGGTCTACCAGATCTGAGGATTCATCCCTGATGGCAGTGAGGAGCCTTTGCCTCCAGCATGCCAGGAAGGCACTTCTGGTCTCATGCATTCAGAGCATGGGCCACACTGATGCGCTGGAGTGTCCCAGGGGAGCGCCATGCTGTCTCTCCAACTTAGGCACACCCAGGGACTCCACTCTGACGGACAGCGTATACCAGGCTCCCCAGCATCTGCCTACAGTTCTGAGTGATCCCTGGGAGCTCCCAAGATATCCTGTCTTTTTGTAAGGCCCCTAGTTCTACAATTGAACACTTCAGTGTCTTTAGAATTCCTTGGTGAGACCTTTTAAGCCAAACCACTTTTTGCCCTGAATTAGTCTGATAAGTTTGATCATGGTATTCATTTTCCATCCTCCAACCATCTGCCTTTAAGATTTGTCCACTTTATTTTTTTTTGGTTTAACGTTTATTTATTTTTGAGAGATGGAAGTATGAGCAGGGGAGGGGCAGAGAGAGAGAGAGGGAGACACAGAATCCGAAGCAGGCTCCAGGCTCTGAGCTGTCAGCACGGAGCACAACATGGGGCTCCAACCCATGAATGGTGAGATCACAACTTGAGCCAAAGTTGGATGCTTAACCGACTGAGCCTATTTGATAAATGCCTGTGAAAACACAAGAAGGATAACAGCCTGTGACCAGGGTGATGCAAGCTCCATGCAATAAACCCTGAAGGAGGACAGGACATGGCCTCTACCTTCACAGGCATTTCTAACCTCATCAGGGCGATGAAACTCAGAAATGCAGATCAGCACAGCCCTGAGTAAAGGAGGTTGGATCTAGGAGATGGAGCTTCATGGATGAGAGGGGGACTCAAGTGAGCCCTAGAAAGTGGTAGGATCTGGATAGGAAAACTGTAGGTTTTTGAGCAGGAGGGTCTTAGGACCAGTTCAGCAGTGGTACATGGGGAGAAGTGGGTG